TCCCTCACCCAACCAGAGATCACTCATCACATGCACAAGGCTTTGCCTCAGGGGGTCCAGACCCAAGACATCTGTCAACGCACACACTCTTACTCTCGACATTGCCACTCCTCCTCAGTCCAGACTTTTCCACCGTATCCTCGACAATTCCTGGGCTTGACATCAACAAAATCTGTGTCCTCCACCTCTCTTTCAAGTAGCTGATGTTTGAACTCTTCCTGCCGTCAGTCTCTTTTTGTACTGGCTAGTTCCTCATTCTGTCTACCTGCCTCCTCCTGCTCTTTCCCCTTCCTCATCACTTGCCTTTTAGTGACATGCACGGAGCATGGTGGCTGTGGGCAGTCAGGCCTGACGATGTTTTAGGCCCTCATTTGAAACAGTAAATTTTCCGTCACTTCTCAGACGTTGGCAGCGAGGGACCAACTCATCAGCTCTAACGCCAGCTCTGGGTTCCAAATGTGTTCCCTAATGGGATCCCAGATCTCTGAAAAAAACCTTCCTTGGGAGAGGAAAGAGCGTCTGTGTCCTGAAAGGCCCTCCGTCCACTCACGACCATCAAGGACCACCCTGCTGTGTGAGATCTGAGAGTCTTTGGGGTAAGGATTCTGCTTTGCCAGATGAATGGCAGAAATCGCAGGGACCCGAGAAAACAGAGCTAATTATAACATCCATCCTAGATCGACTGGGTATGATTAAGACAGCCTCATCCAGTGGATAGAGAAAGAAAACAGTAAAGAATAAGCAAAATAAAACATTTAATGTGATTTTTAAAAAAAAATCTTTGTTGTCAACAATTTTCCAAGTTCTAATTTCCCACGAGAGTGGGATTGTACACACTGGGAGGTGTGGAAAAGACACCAGCAATGTTTATAGTTTGACCTACTGACCACCACCCTAAATGGGCAGTAAGACTCCAAGATTGACCTTGTATCTGCTGGCCAAATTGTTTAATTCCTTCCTACTGTTTTCTTGTAAAACAAGGCACCAGTATCTTACCCTATCAGCTCCAAGAGGATAGTGAGCCAATTTACTCATTCATTCAACAAGCCACCCAAGCCAGTTAGGTGGTGGGGGACAGTGTTGGGTGTTAGGATATGGCCCCTCAGTGCCTGCCCTAGAGAAAGGAGCATCCTCCTATGGGACAAACCACAGCCGCTCTGACTCTTTATTTCTGGGGTAGCAGAGGGTAAGTCACGGTGAAGCTGGGCTGTCACAGTGTCTTCTCTCTTGAGGAGATGCTGTGGGGATGTGGTGGGGAACAGCCTTACCCCAGCTGCAGGCACAGGAAGTCCAATGCACAAAACGTTGGCTGAGGCTTATTTAAGGTTCCCTTCCCTTTTTTGCCCCCCCTCACCCCTTGTATATAGTTTAAACTCTCCACACTAGGTCATTCAAGCCTGGAGTCACCAGAAAAAAGAAGTCGCTGTTTGGGGGATGGCAGATGATCAAGAGTTCGGACAGCTGCGATGAAGGATTAGTTGTGGGTTCTTCCCAGTGCCTCGCTGCAAACTGTGTTGCTGTTCCATGTGCAAACACTATTAAGTGAGAATGTTTTCTCTGGCACCAATCCACCTTCTCCCCACAGTTTAAGTATTGAATTTTTTTAAAAAAAAACGAAAGTAGCGTAGGTTTACAGCTCACATTTAAAACTTAAAAACATTATTTCCATAAATGTTGGCAGAAACCAGCGCCTGTTTATTCCACCAGCAGTCATAATAAACCTTTTCCCACTGACAATCTAACAAATCATTTTCTGTTTGCCACTGAGTTTGGCTCAATAAAATTTTTGTGCTCTTTAAATTCCCTTCGTAAGAACGCCTAAAAGCAACCTTTCCTCAGGCGGCCTTTGTGGTCTCCGTTCCCACTGTTTTTCTCCTGGATCCCAGAGGTGAAGACAACAGGTTCGTGGCCGTAATTAGAAAGTCTCAAGACTCAGAAGGATATTAGTATGCTGAATATGTTGGTATCTAAGACATTTCAGACAATCGCTTTCAAATCTATTTGTACACACAAACCACCCCTTGGCCATCCACTGTTAAAGTCTGAACACTGACGGGGCCCCAGCGGGTAGCTGACACACCCTACCTAATGGGTGCCCCTACCTGGGTTACCTGAGTGACAACGAAGCTGGACAGACGACCTCCCCTCCCGCCCCCACGGCGGGTAGCCTCTCTGGACAGGCCGGCATGAGGAAACCAAACAGAGCAACCATTGGGCTCCATACAGGTGGGTCAGAGGGCAGGCAAGGCATCTTAGGCGGGTCTGGAAACTCCTACAAAGCTTACAAATGTGTTTGTTTTTTCAAAAGACAGACCAGACTGATGCTGGACCCATGAGGTCTCAGTCCAGGAATCTTCTAGGCTCTTCCAAGAAACCCACTCGGGGAGGTGCTGGGTTGATGTTGTTGAGTGCAGCCTGAACACTGAGGTTTCATGGTCGGTTTAGAGAAATTGGCTAACTTTTTTTTTTTTTTTTAAGATTGGTTTGGTTTCTTTTGAAATAAAAAAAAAAAAATGAGTAAGTCGGTTCTACCGCCTTCAATCAAAGCGAATTGCTGACAATTTGATCATACTGTTCCCAGGTTTCTTCCTCGGGGGAACATTGCTAGGATGGGGGTGGAGGTGCTTTTCAATCCCCAGTGAAGAAGAGGCCAAGTTCAGAGAGTGAATGAAGGATGCTCACCCACCACACCACCCCCAGCCACCCGTGTAACAACATCATCTGCAAAAAGCTCAGCCCAGGCTCGGGAAGAGGACCAAATGGAAGCTCTATAGGGCAGAGGGGGAGAGTTGGACCACCCAGCCCAGCCTGGTCCCTGTGCTGGTCTCCTTGCATTTTCTTGCACAGCTGCGAAGGGCAACTGCTGCCAGGGGCTGTAAGGGGAGCTGAACCACCTCCACTGACTCAGGAATCCTGGGGCAGGGCGTCTGCTCACTGTGTCCCCTCTACTTTATAGTCCTGCCCTCTGACCCTCCTCCCCACTGACTTCAAAAGGAAGCTCCTCTGGTGTGGTAGAGGGTGGGTGGGGCTAGGGAAGAAAAGGGAACCCAGCATTCTGTGAGTGGAAGCTGTGCAAGATCTGACTCATGGCTGGGCAGGAGGGTGCCCTGATTTGGAGGCTGCTGGAGACACAAGCATAGCCATCAATAATGCTGATTAACACTGATTCCTTTGGCCACACAGCCCCCCACGAGTGCAGACTCTGTTGGCGTGGGCCAATTCAGCCAAAGCCAGAGTAGCAGGTTTTTGTCTAAAGGTGGGTATCCTAGGAGATCTCGACACGAGGATCTTGTGCAGATAAAAGAGGAAGTGCTCTCAGGGGAAAGGAGAGAGGGAAGCAGGATAGTACAGGAGGGATCGGATACACCTGAGTTCCCAGAGTGGCATAGCGAGATGTGGGAGAAAGCAAGCCTGGAAACGCAAAAATATATGAGTTTTCCACCCCTGGTGGATCACCATTACCATAAAGTCCCTAAATTCTATTTCCTTTCATTCCTTTCCATGCCAAATGCTGTGCCAGTCAACTCCTGCCCTTATTTTTCTCCATAGCAATGATCACCCTTGATACTCCGCGTAGTTATTCTTGTTTATTTCTTATCTGTTTCTCCTTACAGAATGTAGGCTTCGCAAGGGCAGAGCTTTTTTGCTATTGTTTTGTGCAGTATCTCCAGTTCCAGGTCAATGCCTAGCACATAGTAGGTACTCAATAAATATTTGTCAAAAGACTGAAGCTAGACTCGTCTGCTTTCTTCTGTTTCCAAATCTGAGACAAGAGCTACATATTGTCCTCAAATGGAATCGACCACCTACTGCAAGACTTTGGAGATGCAAAAGTGTTGGGCGAAAGCTATATTTCTGCATGCTACACTGTTAGCCAACTTCTTTTTCAATGAGTGCCTGAAATGATGCCGGTCAGATTATGTGTAGACCATCATGGGATGTGGAGAAGTTTAGCCTTTGTCTTCCATCATCTTTCTTGGATCAGGGCATGGGGATAAAAAAGACTAAAAACTAGAAAAGCAGAAAGGCCACAGTAGATTTTCACAATTATCATCTTTTAGGAGTATTTTTCGTATTTAAAAAATAATACTGATTTTCTGTGGGGGGAAAAAAAATGGAAGACTGTCCTTCCATCCAAAATGGTGAGAAAGGCGGGTATGGACATGGAGAAGGCAGGTTTGAAGATGGGCAGACAGATGTGAAGATGGGGAGCAGGTACGGTCACAGGGAAGGCAGGCTCACCCCTTGTTACATATAGTGAGAGACGGGGCCTTCCCTTTCACGTCATAGAGTAAAGAGAAGGCTTTGAGGTATCAACAACTTGGGTTACTGGGTAAAGGAAGACAAAGAATCTGTGTTTCCTGAACATCGAGGGGACGTCTCTTTGGCTGCTGTGGACTAGCCAGTCTCCTCCAGCTCCAAGAGGTCATCCACGTATTCCACAACCTCTCCCTGTAAAAGACAACAGGACACCTCTGTTAAATGGGTTGCCTGACTTTAAAAGTGCTGGTGAGCAGACACTGCTTCCAAGAGGCCGCTGTCAGCTGCCTGCTTGGGCTGGAGCAGCCTTTCTCCCCTGCCCTTGGGCTCAGAGGACCTGACTTCTCCTTGGGGGCTCTTCGCCTTCTTCGCCATGTGAACTTAGAGTCAGGTGCTCTGCAGCCCCCAGAGAAGGCCTGTGTGAGGTAGGCGGGCCAGCCCACCCTCTGAAAAACGCTTAGCGCCCCCTCTTCCGTGCTTCCATCCCCCTTCTAATAGCAGTTATCCCACAGGAAGACTTTCTATCTGTTCCCTTTCTGCCTTGATCACCAGTCTATGAGCTTTTCAAGGACCAGGACCTGGGTTATTTTTCTTCCCCAGCACCTGGCACACAGAAGGTGTTCAGTAAACCTACTAAAGGTTAAGTGATTGAGTGTATATGTGCATATTCCTGGCGTGACTAAAGCAGTCATCCTACTGGGGTACAGTGGGACCCACTTGCTCACTGTCAGTCTCAGGAGCCCACCCATTCTTTCTTTGTGCAATCAGTCAGAAGCCTCAAACTGAAAAAGCCCAGCATACTTTCTGATTTACTTCTCTGCATTGATTTCTCGTCCGTAACACACCTGGGCCACAAGTGGATGGTGCGTTCTTTTTACTGCAGAGAATGAATGAATCACCAAGAAGCCAAGTCCCCTCCCTGTGAGGGTCAGCACAGGCCAGCCCCACCAATGCTGACTACTCCCTGGTAAAACTGAGCCTCCCTCAAAGAGGTCACCATCCCAGCTCAAGAGCCTATTTGCTTTTTAGATATTTTAATGCAGATTCATAAAATCTCTCAGCATTTGAGAATAGTTGAAAAATCTATCCAGTACTTGAGTCAGAACAGGGGGTCTTAATATTTTTATCAAATACCTCTACCATGTCATGCCTGAGACTAGAAAGCTTTGGGAAAGAAGAAAAGGGAAAAAAAAAAAGAAAAAAATACAAAATATAAAAAAAAGAACAAAACAAAACAAAAGTGTTGCTTTCTGAATGCCCAAAGGAAAACATGGTATAGTAGAGGAATGATTACATGTATGACCATGACTTCTGTTCCTAGATTCATTGTTTCCTGCCATGTGGCTTCTGTGACATGGGGATGATGGTATTGCTTGCTTTTAGTTCATTAATTAAAGGAACACGTCCTCCTATATGGCCTGTTGTGGTGACCACTGGTGCCTCGCTCAGATCTATTTTTCGGTGTACCCAACTCCCAGCTGTTGGGAGCATAGCTTGCTAATGGCTGATAGCTGCCCATTCTCTGGACAATTGATCTTGGCCGAAAGGAGCAGCCCTGACAAGGAGTTTACACACCAACCCCTCTGGCCTGCAGCAACCGAGGAAAGACTGATAAGGGGGCCACAAAAAGCAGGAAGAGCTTGGTGGTACAAAAATCATGCTCCAGAGCTCCTCTGGGAGAAAGTGAAGTTTGACTCCAGCTGAGACCACGTTATTTGCAAAGCTCTCGCTTGCCTCTCACTTCCTTTCCTCGTGGAGAGCACTCCCTCAATAAATCACTCCAGCAAATTATAATCTATTTATTTTAGACTTTGCCGAAGCAAACAACCGTCAAACTTGAAACTTGAAGCATCTATTTCAGCCTGCTTTTTATAGTTCCTGAAACTATAACGGGCCTCTGCAAAATTTTTAACCATGCATGTAAGCTTTGAGGAGCTCTTGTGCACATTTCAAACCCAGAAAGATAATAAATAATATCACAAATATCAGTAGCTAAATTGTATTGATGCTTTGTTTCAAAGTAGTATTTTGTCCTTTGGAAATTTTAAAGATTAAACTAAAATTTTTATTGTATTGTTTATATTTTATCTAAAATTATGAATAATTGGAAATCTAGGGAAAAAACCAGCTTGTTTTTAGAGAAGTATTAATTCTTTCACAATTCTAAAACCTCAATTAATATGCTAATTACTTCCAGGACCTTCAACAGAGTCCTTTTATCTTGAGAATGCCAAGTCTAAATCCCAGGAATTTTAAAGCCTGGAAAAAGCCTGGTCTTTTCAATGGATGATTACTAACCAGCTGTGTAACTTTGAGCGAGTCACTCTATCTTTCTGAATTTGTTTCCTCATCTGACATGAGAGAGCTTTAGTGAATCCTCATGACAAAAACATTCAACAACTAGTACTAGAAGGGGAACTTCCTCTTCAAAACAAACAAACAAACAAACAAAAAAACTCGCAAAAAAACCAGAGCTAACAACATACTTAGCGCTGAAAAAGAATGCTTTCCTTCTAAGATTGAGCAATATCTCTAGTGCCAGGTCAGTGCCTAGCACATAGTAGGTGCTCAATAAATATTTATTCAAAGAATGAAGCTAGACTCGTCTGCTTTTTTTCCATTTCTAAATCACTGTACTGGAGGTTTTAGCCAGGCAGGGCAGTTAGTCAATCAATCAATCAATCAATTAGAGACATCTAGATTGAAAAAGAAGTAAAACTACCTTGATTCATAGATAACAGAAACTCCTAAGGAATCCACACACACACAAAAAAACCCTATTAGAACTAATAAACAAGTTCAATAAATTTATAGGATTACAATATCAATATATAAAAATCAATTGTATTTCTATACACTAGCAATGGACAATTAAAAAATAAAAATAAAAAAACAATTCCATTTGCAATCATATCAAGAAAAACAAAATTTAAGAAAACATTGGTAAAAGTAACTAAAGAAGACCTAAATAAATGGGAAGACATCCCATGTTCCCAGATCAGAAGAGTTAATATTGTTAGGATATCAATACTAATACTACCTCTAAGGTGATTTTCAGATTCAGCACAATTCCTATTAAAAATCTCAGCTACCTTCTGCAGAAATTGGCAAGCTGATCCTGTAAGTTATATGGAAATGCAAAGGACCCAGAATAGCCAAAGCAATCTAGAAAAAGAAGAATGAAGTTGGAAGACTCACACTTCCAATTTCAAAGTGTAGTACAAAGCTACAAGTATTCAAGACAGTGTGGTGCTGGCATAAGGACAGTAATCTAGATCAATGGAATAAATGTGAGAGTCCAGAAATAAACCCTCACATTTATAATCATTTGATTTCCTTCAACAGTGCCAAGAGAATTCAATGGGAACAGAAAGATTTTTCAACAAATGGTGCTGGGACAACTTTATATCTTCATAAAAAGAACGAAACTGGACTCTTACCTCGCATCATATGTAAAGTTAATTTAAAATAGATGGTATTTCTAAATATAAGTGTTAAAACTCTAAAAATCTTAGAAAAAAATACCGGAGTAAATTTTTATGAGCTTGGATTAGGCAATAGGTTCTTAGATAAGACACCAAAAATGCAAGCAACCAAAGAAAAAATAAAATAGATCTCATCAAAATGCTTTAAGGCTCCATTAAGAAAATGTAAAGACAACCTAGATTGTCTGGCAGGGGACTTATAACGAGATATATAAAGAACTCTTACAACTAAACAATAAAAAGACAGCTAACCCAATGAAAAAAAATGGGCAAAGGATTTGAATAGACAAGACATTTCTCCAAAGATATACAAATGGCTAATAAGCATATAAAAAGATGCTCAACATCATTAGTCATTAGGGAAATGCATTTCAAAATCACAGTGAGATACAACTTCACACCCTCTAGAATGGATATAATAAAAAAGAAAAACACTACCAAGTACTGAGAAGACTAGCAAACTCAACTTTCATACACTGCTGGTGGGAATGTAAAATGGTGTAGCTGCTTTTGAAAGTCATCTGGCAGTTTCTCAACGAGTTAACCATAGAGTTACCATATGACTCAATAACTACGGCTAGTTATATACTTAGGTATATAATCCTGGGTATAAGAGAATTGAAAACTTATGTCCAAACAAAAATTTGTACACAAATGTTCATAGCATCATTATTCAAAATAGCCAAAAAGTAGAAACAACCCAAATGTCCATCAACGGAGTAATAGATAAACAAAATGTGGTATATCCACACAGTGGAATATTATTCATCAATAAAAATGAATTTTTACATATAACATGATACATGTTACAACACGGTTGAACCTTGAACACATGCTCAGTTAAAGAAGCCAGTCTCAAAAGATCACATACCATATAATTCCATTTATATAAAATCCCCAGAACAAGCAAATCCATAGAGCCAGAAAGTAGATTAATGGTTGCCAAGGGCTGGGGACAGAGGTGAAGGAGGGAGGGGCAAAAGGGAAGGAATGAGAAGTGACTAGTAATAGGTTCAGGGTTTCTTTTGGGGTTGATAAAAATGCTCTAAAATTAGATAGTAGTGATTGATGCACAACTTTGTGAATATAATGAAAACTACTGAACTGTATACTTTAAAAGGGGGAACTTTATGGTATATGAATATTTCAATAAAGCTGCTCTAGAAAAACATAACAAGGGAAACTGCTCATATTACAATGTTAATTATAAAAGCCATGACATGAAATTACAACTGAATTTATAATGAATATATATTGGAAATATGTAGGAAAAACTGGAAGCATATACACCAAAATATCAATAGTAGCATGTCTCTGGATAATTAGGAACTCAACTCCTCCCCTTTTTCCTAAATACATCTTTCTCCACTTTTTAAACCATAGCAGCCCACTTTGTAGCTAGCCAGCATCCTTTTCTTTGCAGCATCCTTGTGATCTTATCTCAGGCTCTGCTTCAAGAGAACCCAACCCGAAACACATGGCACGTGTATCACTTCCTAGTTTATAAAGCACTTTCACAGGTAGCACAGTATTTCATTCTCCCAACTCTGTGAGGTCAACGCTATTCGTCCCATTTTATAGATAAATGACTGAGGCCCCGAGAAGTTAAATGAATGCTAGTGATGGGCATATCCCATACAAATTCATGCACAGAAAAAAAATTCCACGATGATGTCTCATTTAGAGGTGTTTCACGTGAAAAAAAATTCCACGATGATGTCTCATTTAGAGGGCAGTGGAAAAAATTCCACGATGATGTCTCATTTAGAGGTGTTTCACCGAAAACTGGGGCAGTGGAAAGAGCAGACAAGGAGGCTCAGGGCCCCTGGATCTGGCCTAGCAACTCACAGAACCTTCCTGTCCCTCAAGCTCCTCACCTATGAAATGAAGGGTCAGACGAATTCACTCTTCCAGCTCCAACACCTGGCAAGTCCCAGGCTGTCTTAGAAGGCATTTTCCAGTTTATTCCAAACACCTCTCTAAATGCTACCCCTAATGATGGCTTTTCTGTGACTAGCCTGCCCCAACTTTTCTGTGACTAGCCTGCCCCAAAACGACTGCTCCATAAGCAAAAAGGGCGTTAGCTGAGAGTCAAGAATCCCAAGGAATCTCAGAGAATGACTCAGAGCAAGGACCTAATTTACAAAACAAACAAACAAACAAACAGATAATAATCTCATAGAAAAATTGGGATGAGGGTTTCCCAGTGTCTTCTGAATGCTGAGTAATTGAAAATTCACTATGTTTTTATAACGTTAAAAAATGATGGTTGGACGGGTCCATCGCACCAGTCACTGGCAGGGAATGCGTCACTTCAGCCTGGGTTCCTAGAAAGCCATTCTTGCCCACACCAGTGCTCCGATTTCCATTAGAACACCCACAGAAACTGCATTTCTCCATCCCCTTCTGCTTCTTATTTCAGCGATGACTCGCCTTCCAGGGATTTTAGCAAAGATGTGAGTAACATCTTCTCTAGGCAAGACATGTGCTCAACATGAAAACTTACCTCATCATCATCCATTATGTTTTCCTTAGCAAAGTCATATAGCTCTTTCTGGAGTGTAGTCACGTTAAAGAACTGAACTGCTTCCTGTTGAGACACAAACAGAAAACAGTTTACATGACCAAACTTTTGATGTTAGAACGGGGAGAAGGGAGGCACAGGGCATGGGGTTTCTTATGGGGGTGATGAAAATATTTAAAATCAGATAGTGGTAATGGTTGTACAACTCCATGATAATGAAACCATGAACTGTGTACTTTAAAAGCGTGACTTTTATTGTATTTGAATTATATCTCAATTTTTAAAAAGTGGGCAACTGCCTATAAATGAGAGACTGTGTGTGTGAGAATGTGTGCGTGTGTATGATTATGTGTACGTGTATAGGCAGGGGAGTGAGGTATGAGGGAAGATGGATGAACGGCAAACCAGGAAAGTATACAGAAATCCCAATGAAAATACAAGTTAAGAACAAAGAGCGTTGAGAGAAGAGCTTTTAAAAGTAATATATAATCCATGAAGTTCCTGACAACAAACACATAGCTGAGTTTTTCGATTATGAGAATTAAATGTTGGTCCATCCATAAAAGAACCAATCATGGAGCTGTAGGTGTATGGGTGTGACACAGAAAATATTCAAATGAATTGTTACAAAGACACAGCAAGTTGCAAGACAGTATACGAAGTATAATCCTGTTTCTATAAAAACAAACAAATACATGTTGTGTATATGAGTAAATGCATAGCTATAAGTAAAGAGATGGTATGGAATTATGAGGGAATTTCATGTTCCAAGTAAAATATTCCTGTGATGTTTTCGATCTGTAGAATTCTGCCTGATTTAAAAATCAGAATAAAGCAGTAAAATGCTAAAAGACAAAAACTACAGAAAAACAATGAATTTCCTTTCATTTCCGAAATACCCCTTCCTCTCAAGGTGCAAAGCCATCTCAGGAAAGTGAGAACGAAGAGGAAAGGAGCCGTGATGCCTGGACTTACAGGTCTGGGCTGGAAATGATCATCCAACAGACCCCACTTGTCCCTGTGGTACTGGTAATACACCAGGTTCTGCTGCATGACCTTGTCGTCGTGGTCGAAGAGCAGGTAGCTGACCGCACAGGGGGCCGCGTTCTTCAGGTCACTCACTGGGGTCCAAAGGAGAGAGGGACAGGAGATCAGCCGGCACCCGCTGCAGTTCCTCTCGCCAGCCTCCCCTTCCCCCTTCTCCCACCCCTCCCCCTTTTTTGAAGCACAGCTTCCTAGAAGAAAAGGTCGTGAACAAGCCCCTTCTCTGCAGGCCCTCCTTCTGAAAACCCGCCACACACTGGAATCATCCCTGGGTAGGTGGTTCACAGGCTGGGTCTCCAGGGCAATGTGGAGGCCAGATTTGAAACATGCAGATAGATGCCTTTGCAGAAATGGCTACCACATTTCACCTCATGCTCGCGTGCCCTGAGCTGCTCTCACATCCCTGGAGCATCAGAAGGCTGGATCCCAAAGCCTCGACTGTCACGGGGCTGATGAGCTAGGGAGGACATGCTCAGCAGATGAGGCCCCTTTTGGGTACCAAAGTGCCTGGGTCCCATGTGGATGACACAGCAATCCTCAGACAGGTAGGCTCTGCTATAGTTAAACCAAATCTAGAAACTCCAAAAGGAGGGTGGACTCTCTGGGCTGAAAAAGATTTGAAGAGTTACCTGGCCTTGTCACTTCCTGGAGGTGAGGGTCTCACCTCCAGCCTCACTCCCTAGAGTTGCTCTACCTACAGCACTACCTTCTGCATAGGGATTTGGCAGGGGTTGGGATTTGTCATAGGGGTTGGGATTTGTCTTAGGGGTGGGGGACAGGATGAAGAAGTGACGAGACACAAGCCCTTGGGTATTTATTCTGGCACTTTCCACTTCAATTAAAACCCAAAAACACTACCTTTGCTAAAGCTCTGGTTGGCCAGAATAACAGAAGCGAGGGTATGAGTAAATTTTGCCACCCAGTGGCTATTTCTGGTAATGACAACTTTAAAATCAGGGTGTAAAGGCCCTTACTATTCTCAAGGCCTGCAGGGCTGGGAAAGGGTTCACGTATAAATAACAACACCTGCCCTCAAGAAATTTATTTCAGTAGTTAATTTAGAAAGAGTTCAAAACTGGGCAGACTTTCAGGAAAGCAATTTCGAGAAGTAAATTTTACTCGTACTGTATACCTATAACCCCAGAAGCAAAGATTTCCTGGGGAGCAGCAAGCTAAGCTAGAAATTTTGGTTTACCAGTGTTTATAAGTCTCCGCCACAGTTTCTGACACACAGGGAGATTTTCAGAGCATGTGAGGATTTCAGAGGACCAGTGGGCTACCAGAGCCTGGATGTGCCTGGAACACTTTTAAAATCCTAGTGTTCTGGCTTTGTGTTCACATAACCAAGCCCTGCTCAGAGACGAGATGACCCCATGTTTCAAAGTCTACCTCAGGGCTAGCTCAGGTAAGTGCCAATGCAGACTTCATGACAATGAATTAAAACACAAGCTTATGTTTCCATCCCACTGAAAAGCTTTAAACTGTGAATCCAAGATTGGAAAAGTGTTGATAAAAGTTGAAGCTGGATGATGGGCAGACTATATAGTTCATTGTAATATCCTTTCTACTTTCATATATGTTTTAAGTTTTTCATAATAAGTTTCATAATAAGTACATAATTTTTCATCATTCTCATTAAAACAGGCCTCTTCCAAGTGTGAATGAATAAAAGCAAACAGGTAAAACGGGGGTGGGGAAAGGGGAGGCGATAGAGATGGGAATGGGTGGTTTCCTTCAATGTCTCTCTGTACCTCTCCCAGACGTTTGGTTTGCTACAACAAGCCTGTCCTACAAGCCTTTTTGAAAGAAAGCACTAATCAATCACTTCTATTAAAAAAGAGGGCTCTTGTCTACGGCCATGCCGCCCTGAACAAGCCCGATCCTGTCTGATCTTGGAAGCTAACCAGAGTTGGGCCTGGTTAGTACTTGGATGGGAGACCACCTGGGAATATTGGGTGCTGTAGGCTTAAAAAAAAAAAAAAGAGGGCTCTTCACAAGCAAAAACACTGCCTAGGAGAAAACTATTCCCTCCACACTAGAATACAGTCAATAAATATTTGCTGGGGACCAACCATGAGCTCAGCGCCATCTCATTTGAAAGCATGTCCATAAATTATATAGAACACGACTGTTGTCTTCTATGCTAAATAATCCTCTAATGAACAACAGGTGCCAGTGTTACAGTGACAAATAAAACCTCAACCTTGCCATCCATGAAAGTGGACTCTGGGAAAGACACCTGTTTAAAACACACCTCACTTTCCTGTTGATTTTAGACACGTCTTAACTAAGGAATATTTTTCCTCCTTAGATGAGGTTCAGGCTGCCATAAGATCAGTTCCTCCGTGGAGAGAGGCAAGTTACTTTACTCAGGAAGACCTGGCATAACAATCTTCATTAGAAGCAAAATTTTAAAAATTAAAAAATATATGTATATGTATAGAATTTTTTTTTCTTTTTGTCCTGAAGAGGGCAAGAGATGGGATAAAAAGGTAGGTGGCTGTTGCAGAAAGAGAGAACCCAACAAAGAACAAAATGGCCACAGCAGGGAAGAAGGCTATAGAAGCCAAGGTCACTCTGCATCCCCAAGACCAGCTACTTCTGAGTTGGAAGGGTAGCCCAGGGACTCCAGCCAGATATCTGCCACTGGACCCACGTATTTCATCAGTAGGGCAAAGTACTTCCTGCTGCAACTGACTCTAATAATTCCCCTATGCTTGTCACTGAACTGCCAAGATACATGCTGCTCAAATAGTGGCACTTGGCAGTCAGTCACAGGAAGAGGAAGAAAAGCCAAAAAAGACAGGCTCTGAAGTCTGAACTCTGAACTACTTTCCCGCTCACATTCGTTTCCCTCTGTCCACTCGAAATGTTCTGACTGACAAACTCCAATTTCAGGCCAAGGGAGGACCAACTGCAATGAAACTCCAATAATCAGAAAAGGAAGGCCGATGATGGGGAAGAAGGGGCATAATGACAAAAAGAACAAACACTATATACAGTTTGCTATGTGCCAGTGTGTGAACACCCTCAGTATTCCATGTCTGTCGACTCATTTAATCTTCGCGACAAATCTTATGAGGTTAGTGCCATTACATCTACTTTAGAGAAGAGGAAACTGAGACACAGAGAAGTGAGCGACAAAGCTGGAATTCGAACCCAGGCAGCCTGGCTCCAAGGTTCAGCAAAGCTCAGCACCAGGGCCAATGATGTGACTTTGATGAATTCTCTCATAGGTAAGCGTTAGAACCTCTATTCTACAGATGGGGAAGCCGAGTCTTACAAGGATTAAGCACCATGCCCAAGATCTCATGAAAAGGATTACTTACACTTATAATAAGCGAACTGCAAATAGTGATACATGGTTGCCACAAATTTCTCCACTGGATAGCCTCCTATAATTGGGGTGAGGTTCTCTTCGCATTGTATTTTGCATTGCAGAACTTCTACATAATGATCTGAAAGAACACACACAAATTTTCAGAGCGATGACCTTTCTTTTTTCTAAGATTTTTATTAAAATATAGCTAACATACAATATTGTATTAGTTTCAGGGCATATACCATAATTATTCAACGTTTATGTACCTAAAGAAGTGATTGCCATAAGTCTATCATTAGATTTCTTAATAATACTTCTGTCCCACCTCTCCAATGACAAAGGCAAAAAGTAAAAATGATACATAATAGAGATAAAATATTTGCAATACTTATGCTAAAGGATTAAAACTTTTAACATGCAGTTTCTTTAACAAGAAAAAGACAATATAAATATGGCCAAAAGGTTGTTAACAGAGAAGAAATTATAAAAATGGCTAATTAACATTTTGAGAAGATGCTAAACTTCATTTGTAATTAAGAAATACAATCCCATATAAAACAATTTTAATTGTTAAATTGGCAAAATATTTGAAATTTGATAATACACAGTGTTAGGAAGAGAATGGTGAGACTTACACTCTCATATTCTGTTGGTAGAAGCAAAACGAACAAATTTTTCAAAGAGCAGTCTGGCAAAATTTATCAAAGGTTAAAATACACATTATATCCTCCGACCAGTAGTCTAGTTCAGGGAAATTGTCCTTAGACTTATGCACACATAGCACTGTTTGTAACAGCAAACAAATGGAAATAATCTAAATGCCAGTCAACAGGATGATGATTAATAAATTATGGTACATATTAATAATAGAATCTATATAATCTTTAAAGAGAATGGATGGACCTACATATATAATAATATATAAAGATATCAAGGACTATATTTCCCAGCCTCCCTTGCAGTGGGTTGGGGCCATATGACTAACTGTGCCAATGAAATGTAAATAGCACTAATATAAAATATTGAACATCGACTCTAATCGAAAAATGAAAATTAAAAAAAAAGAAATGTGAATAGTGACAACTAATGAACGTGACTTCCGGGCCTGGTCCCCAAAAATCTCCCACATGATACTTGGTCATCTAGTTCCAGTCAGGACCCTGACTGATACAGAAGGAGGCTTTTTTTCCCACAGTCTATATTTTTTGTGTCTTTCACATTTTATACTACGTGCATATATTACCTACCAAAAAGAAAAAGTTTGAAATTAAGTATAATGTACCACACCAGTGAGACACCATTTCATTAGAGTTAGGAGGTAAGACTCTGCAGTCAGAAGGCCCAGGTTCAAGTCCCAGCCCTTCCTCTGAGGACAATAATCATAATACTTAACCTCTCTATGCCTCAGCTTTGTCAGCTATAAAATGGGGAGAATGCTAGTATTTTCCTCATAGGGTTGCAAAATTGAGATAAAACACATAGAAAGCATAGAACAGGTTCTGGCATTTAGTTGGAGTTTAATAAATGTTACCTTTTCTAATAACTATTATTTATCTTAGTCAAAACACTATAGTTCCAAGTAAGCACCCTTTTTTGCACCTGTCTCTTTATTCTGAGTGTCAGGTGTACTCTTGACACTTATATGCATAAAGGGAGCTTGGAAGGGGCAACCCTACACTAGCAGAACACTAGTTAAAAGGTGCCGCGTGAGGTCCAGGTGTGAGCACCGGCAGCTGCCAACATCACAGAGAGAGAGACAGCCGGACATTCTGTGCTCACTGATGGGAGAACTCAGCACCTACTAGGAAGTGGTCTTGTCTCCCAACCCTGACCAAACAACCAACCAACCAAACAAACAAACACTGATCAAGCCTCTACATCCAACTATCAATTTATAAGAAATATAGAGGACAGAGGACCATGGGGCTACACTCAGCAAAATCCAGGGTGTGGGAATCTCTACAAGATAAATGACTCAGTTTCTTCAATAGCAAGAGGGAAAGAATATGGAGGAAGAACCTATAAATTAAAAGAGATTTAAAAGGTAATTGATTTGCTACAATATGCATAAACCTTGAGGACATTATGCTAAATGAAATAAGCTGTCACAAAAAGATCGATACTATATGATTCTGTTTATATAAGGTACCTAGAGCAGTTAATTTCATAGGGACAGAAAGTAGAATGGTGGTGACCAGGGGTAGGGGTGAGGAGCACAGCAAGTTAGTATACAAATTTTTTTTTTTCTGTCATTTGGTTAGTTTTAGTTTGGGAAGATGAAAAGGTTCTGGATATGGATGGTGGTGACGGTTGCACAACCAGGTGAATGTACTTAATGCCACTGGACTGTATACTTAAAAATGGTTATTAACAGTAACATTTTATGTTATGTGTATTCTACCACAGTAAAAATTTTAAAAGATAACCAAGTACAATGTGTGCACCTTATCTGGAACGTGAGTCAAACGAATTGTATATGAAAGGTACACACATGTTTATGACATTTCTGAGATGATTGGAACATTGATACGTGATGATGAGATCAAGGAATTAATGTTAAAATCTTTTAGGTATAATAGGTGGTTATGTAAAAAAAGAGTTCTTATATTTTAGAGGCATATACTGAAATATTACAAATGAAGTGATGTAACATCTTGGATTTGCTTCAAAATAACATGAGAGAGGAAAAAGTAGGTGGGAATTAGATGAAGCCCAAAGGGCCATGAGTTGACAATTGCCAGCCTGGGTCATGGGTACATGGGGTTCATGATCTGTTTGAAACCTTCTAAAATAACAAGGTTTTGTTAAGAAAAAAAAAAAGGGTACTTTGTTAAGAAAAAAAAAAAGACACATGAACAAAAAAATGATTAAAAAAAACAAACTCTAGATTCAATAACTTAGAGCTGCCAAACTACGGGATTTCTACAGGCCTTTACCCAATGGAGTGTCCAGTGACATTCTGGGAGGCAGATGGCGCCCAGCCCCCTCTCAGGCTTATTTGGCCAGGGCACCCTTTCTTCAAGGTACAGTTCTAGGATCGGTGTTCCCAAAACCAGTTTGGGAAATCTCTTCTGGGTCATTTCCCAATTTCTGGAGCAAAACTGCCCATTAAAGGTTAAAGAGAAATCCTAGGGACATCTAGGTTTTCTCTGATGGTGTTTTAATTTTTCTTTCTTTCTCATTTTTTCCCATGTTTTCTCAACTTCCTATAATGAGCATTTTTTTTCCACAAATTTTTTTTTTTTTTTTTTTAAGCGACAACTACTTAGAAACTCATAATACTCTTCATTCTACCTTTATATGTGCTGGAAATTTTTCGCCATCAGAGATATTTCATAACACGAGGCACGAGTTACTCATAGGCCTTTTTAATTTTAATTTTAATTTTTCCAAAAGCCTGTGGGGAATCTGTAATCAAACCAGGCCGATACGGTAGACTTCCTCCACAAGCCTGTGTTTGTACATAATATTCATTATTTCTCCAAGTCAAAGACCGATCTATGTAGGTGGTAGCCACCCCACCCCAGTTACCCATTCGTATTTAAGCTCCAAAGTTCTTCAGAGGCCACTCGAGTCATCGAGAAGGCATGTAGGTCACACAGGGGCAGCTATACCATTTACCACCCCCACCAACCTGCTACGGAAAGATAGAAATCCTTGAAGTCCTTGATCTCCCTGGAGCCCTCACACGCTGCAAGACACTCATAGAAGGCTTTGAAGAAGTCGGGAAGGGCCAGCTCCATGTCTGTGATGGATGTCCTCCAGTTCTCGCCATTGTACGCCCGCACCGCCCGGATGAACAGGCTCTGGGAAGCAGAGAGAAGTCAGTGAAGCTCCCAGACATGAAGGGAGAAGGGCCTGTCATCCCAAAGGGAATCAGGCCATGATAGAGCTCTAGTCTCACTAATTCTGAAGAAACCACACAGACTCTTAATTAAATGTGAAGCCAGTTAGTGACTTACTTACGTCTAGCTTTTTCTATCCTGTGTACAATGATACACTTATTTTAATTCAAAAAGTAGCAGGCACTTGATAATAAAATCAAATTAAAATCAAGGAAAAAGAGAAAACAATAGTGACATAAATCAGAGCAGTGGCCGCCAGGGGCCAGGGGTTGGGGCAAAGGCTTGACTGCAAAGGGGCATGAGGTGAACATTTTAGAGGAGATGAAAATATTCTACATTGTGATTTTGGTGGTAGTTTAGTTACACGACTACCCATATTTGTCCAAATTCATGGATTTATTCATTTTAAATTGGCAATTCAATTTTAAATAAATTATACCTCAATAAAATTAATTTTTAAAACCGAATCAAAGAAAAGATATAAGCTTGAGAGCAGGTATCACACCCCTCTTCCCCTAACAGAAAAGGACAGAACAGTAGGGCCATGCATCAGCATGAGTCACTGAGGAGAGTGGCCACATGTCAGACAGGGGCAACTTCATGGAGTTTCTGCTGACTGCTGGTTGAATCAGGTGAGACACTGGTCTCATAAGAGATAAGTAGAGATCTTGGATACACACAAAAACCTGTTAAGTCGGAGGACTCAGATCAGGCCCTGAAATAAGCAAGGGAGTCGCCACTTGCAGTTTCCTTTAAGCTGCTCCAGAATGGGGGTATCAGAGGGACACCCCTTGGACCTGGAATTTTCACCAAGCTTAAGGCCTCAGGTAGAGAGAGAGAGTGGATCTTCCTAAGCCTCCTGGGCAGGCAGCATCCACTAGAAACAAGACAAGCAGATAGAGCACTGCAGAGGCCTGGCCTGGAGACGGGGTCAATCAGCAGCCACTCCAGGCAGCTGGCTCTGCAGAAGCGGCAGGATGGCAGGAGCAAGAGGAAGGCCAGGCAGAGAGAGGGAGCCCCATAGGCGCACAGGAGGGCAGCCCATCACACCCAGCAGGACTCCAAAGAGGAAAGAAGGGTCTAGCTACTTGCAGTGCACTGACCACAAACACTCAGCTCTGTTCCCCAAACCCTGTGAAAAAATGACAGTGAAGAGAGTAAGAAGGTATAAATACTTTTTTTTTTTTTTTAATGGGAGAATGAGAAAGGAGTAAGCAGCAGACAGGCGATTTCGACAACCTTTGGGAAGAGAGAAAACCAAATTATCAGAGGAAGGCCTGCAGGGAAAATGAGCTACACAGCCCGCTGGCACTTGCAAGCACCAAGGACCATGGACGGCTGGTGCAAGGTACAGAATGAGAGCAGGGCTGAAAGTCTGAACAGGGATATTGAAGCCGCAGGTTCCCGCCCAGCACCCCACTGCTGACCCAACGGATCACAGCTCTTCAAGCCAGTCTTCCGTTGAGACTGGTGGAGTATTCTTGAGACTCTACCCTTAACAGCTGAGGGGTCAGGCAACAGGCACAGCAGCACTGTGGTTGAGGCACGGAGCTAAAAACCAGGGAGCACATGAGGTCTCCAACTCAGCTGTGAGACCCCATCCCTCTCTCCATGATGGCTTTCGAACACCAGCGGACAAGCATGGATGCCCCACCAGCCCTGCAGAAGGCTGGAGAATTCTTCCCTGGAAAACTAAAGGGCCCCCAGAAAAGAGACTTCATACACTATGTTTGAGGTTCAAAAAGTGAGCTTATAGCCTGGTCACACTATGGGAAACCCCATACTCAGACCTTGGGACCTAATGGCTCCCCATGGAGGCTTCCATCACGTTTCCTGTTTTCAGTCTGGTCCTACCTTTCACTGGTGTCCATGCCCCAAGGCCTGAGCTCGTGTCCATGCCCCAAGGCCTGAGCTCAACAGACCCAGACTATACTAAATGCTCAGAGGGGTTAGATTCTTCCTCTTCTTATTCTCATCAATCTCCATCAGAACTCCCCTTTGCAGATGCAGAGATTTAAATAGCCTCTCAAACAAGTCAGCCCTCCTAGCTCAGTATTCTCTTTCCACCTTAATACACATATACGTTGTGTGTGTGTGTGTGCATATGTATAAACATAGCTCCTAGTTTCATCAAAAATGGAGACTTAATGTTTCTCTTTCTCGTGTTCTTGGTCATTTGGGGAAGATTTCCAAGATACGTCTTTATTCTACCATCATAAAACTGAACAATCAAATGACCATATTTCTAAAATGTAGCATTTAAAGGAAAGGTGGCTTTAATAGCATCACGGACTGTAAAATCTCATTCTTAAAAGGATCATTTATGCTGAAAAGTCAATCATTTCTATTGTCATAATATTCATTCAATGTCATTAAAAATCACTAGAAGTCCTTCGATATCTATAGCTGTTCATTGAGATACACTTCTTCAAGAGTTCACATTGTGAATAACCCCTGTATAAAAATCCAAACATACCTCGTATGACTTGGTTTCCAAGTCTTTAATGTAGTCCTCAGCATCAGGCAAGCTCTTGTAATAAGCCATGTTTCTCTTCATCATTTCGTCATCAGGGTGCTTCAGTAGAAAGGTGTGGGCAGCTGCAATGGCTTTCGGAAAATTATTTGCCTAAAGCACAAAAAAGTAAGATGAAAGCTACTTAATGGATGGTGAGCAGTGACTTTTGCAAATCGAGATCTGTTCGCTCCTTCAGTAACTTAGTGTTTCAACATGATGTTTCCAGCTAGGGGTTCAGTGACTTCCAGGGCCCATTGAGACCTTGTCCAGCCACTCCAGATGAATATTTATTCCCTGAAGGTGACTAGATGGCCTCTGTGTGCCTTTCTCCATCTGTTCTCCACCGTGTCCACCGCCTTCCGTGCCCTAGGAGGCTGGCCTCTACGAACCATAGCAACAGACTCTCTTGCCCTCTAGTTTCCATTGGGGTTCATTAATGAGGAACCCCAGCAGGGGCACCAACAGGAGACTGAAGGAAAGAGAGGAAGGTTGGGTTACAGTCTCCTGGCTCCCTCCCTGCATAGTCACCTCGGGCTGCTAATTATCCTTTAACTGAAGGTCACAGCTCCTCTCAAAGTCCCCTCTCTAAATAGACTCTCTCTTTGCAGGTTCTCTCCTTTGCCCCTTTGGGCTTAAGGATGGTCACACCCCACTGCTACAAGCCTTTGTAAATGACCGCCTTAGTAAATGTTCCTCTGATCACCCAAATGACTATACCACATCTTTTCTGCCAGAATCTTGACAGATTTATTAATATATTCCCAAATGTCTCACAGAAGCTTCTGCTTCACCATTCTCGATGACCCCCACCACCTCCTCACTTACTCATCCATTCACTCAGCAGACATGGTAGGCATTGTTCTAGAAATGAGTCGGCAACAATGAGCAAAATAGGGGGTGGGGAATCCCTGCCTTTGTGTACCATACATTAAATTAAGTCCCGCCTATCTTCCAGCAACCTCGATTAAGACCCTCTCTTTATACGACCCCACGTTCCCTGTCTTCCCTCTTTTCACACCACTCCGTGGGCTCAGCTGTTGTCCCCCTCCCCC